AATGATTTAAATATTTTTTTTCTTTTTCAAAAAATTCATTGATTAAAAATTGATTAACTATATCAAAAGACGTTAATATACATATTTATGTGGAGATAGAAAAAATAAAACGATTGCGCAAGTCATGCCCCTAACTCACCTTCGGAGCTTTTACTCGTCGTACTCAATGGCCTTCCGCGATGCAACTGCTCGATATCCTGTTTTGATCCTCCCAATTGTTTTACTGGGTTGTTCGACGAAGAACTTGTACTCCTCATTATTGGGATCAATCCCCGCACCTAAATATTCAATTAAGAGATTACAAAGCGCCGGATAACAGTAGAGACTGACCCGATCGCCAGCCGATTGACCATGGCTTTGAGGTTGCAAATCGATCATGCTTTGCAGTTCGTGCACTGAGCCAGGACCCATATGTACGATGTGCATAAAGTCGCTAGGACCAGATATGGGTAGATTACTCCTGCGATCACCAGGTCTGGAAGCATCAGGGAATGAGCCATCTAGGTATGCTCATGAAAACCTTATAAAGGAAAAGAAAGACAATGAGACGATGTGGACAAGAATGCAGAAATAAGACAAACCGTGAGTCATCTTTCCCAGGTATTCGGACAGAGAACTTTCGCCTTCCTTTATTGCGCTTTCCGATAGAGCCTGAGGTGTTTGACGATGATGGTGGTATGTACAGCAAGTCCTCGTCTAAAAAGGAGAAGCATTCTACAGCAAAAGAAAATCTGGAGAAAAGAAGACTGGCCCAATACGTGGGCGAATTTTGAAGTACGATGTTCAAAAAATTCTATAAAAGCTCCAAAATATCCATTTCAAGATACAACACCCCTACCATATCTCCAAAAATAAAGAAAGAAAGAGGGAAAAAAGATGTAAAAAAGGAAAAAGAGGAGGAAAATATGTACAAACCTGAGAGCACATCACATAGCATCACCACAAACGGCGCATCATTCACCAAGCACAACGACAGGAGACCGTCAACCGTGAGAGGTATGGCATTCCTAGAACGACAATTCACGCAAATGATCATCAAACAAGAGAAGATTCCTCAGCTCACCTCAAGTTGATAGTCTGAATCCACTCAGCTGACATCACGTTGAACACATCGATCTCATTCTCGGAGTAGACGCAGAGATGTGGACTGAGATGAGCAAAGCCACCAGGTCGAGGTGACGATGGGAACATGAGCTCTTGGGATCGACTTCTTCTACCTGAACTGAACTCCTACGAGGCACTTATCGCTAAACAAGGAATCCAGCTCACCTTGGGCATCGACATATAGTCCAAGTTTATCGAACACAAGCAGATATTCCCTTGATGAAGGCTCGATAGACTCTCCTGCGACCTCAACCATCAACTGTGCTTCATAGTTGGACTGGCTCAAGAACTGCAGCGATTGATCCTCCATATTCACCAACGCTGAAAAGACAAGCTCAGAGGAAGTATAAACGGGCTAAAATCCAACAAAAGCTTCTGAAAAGAATGGATTCGCTTACAGATATGTTTGGTGT